GGGATCAAATACTTATTTCATTCATGAAAATGCAAATCAATGTATAACTTTTTTGTAATGCATTTTTCTGGATTTTTTTTGTTTTGTTATTGTTGTGTGTCTCACTGTTCACATAAACCTACCATTGACATTGTAGACTGATCATTTCTTTGTTAGTGGGCAAACTTACAAAATCAGCTGGGGTTCAAATAATTTTTTCCTTGACTGTATAAATGATAATCAGAAGCAAATCTGAGGTTGTTGCTGATATGTTTTATAAAAAGATATTTAATTAAATATGAAGATTTTCCTAATGTTCTTGTACTTCTTTGCACCAAAACAAAGGGAAAAAATGGAATTATTGTTATGCATAGGTAATTATGCTATGATTGTGCTGGTCTGGCCCACTTGACATCTGATTAGGCTGTATGTGGCCCCTGATCTAAAATGAGTTTGACATTCCTGGTATAGAGGAAACATCAGCGGCACATGTACGGTAGCAGTATAACATACATATGGAAAAATTATGTATATAAACCACATTAATGCCACAAAATTATCCTTCTAATACCTGGTGAATTGTTTAAAAATCATCAAAGCATTAAACAGGATGTCATATTAACAATTAGCTTGCTGAAAATGAAAAGAAAAGACACACACACACATAGAGAGAGAGAGAGAGAGAGAGAGAGAGGCAAAGTCAACAGCAGCAATAAGCAAAGCAACATCAAACAGTTGTCATGCAGCTGAATGGGATTTTCCTGCCATATAACAACAAGAACAGACCAAGATGCTTTGAGGTTACATGATACTCAGTGGTTGCTTTTTTATCTTTACAGTTAGTCCTCCACAGTGTCTCCAATCTTCATCTCCTGCTCAGCACTCTGCAGGTGAGCTAGTTTCTATCCAGTGCATGCAGGTGACCCAGATCAGAACTGAAATGACCCAGCCCTGTGGCATTTTCTTGCTGGCAGGGTGAATCTGAAAACTTTACTTCTTGGACAAAATGAAGGGGGTAAAAATTTGAACTGAGACACTGAGATATATATA